AAAGAAAACACTTTAGCACCAACTACTGGCTGTGTACTGATTTGTCCCTCCTTTAGCATGGTTAGTCTAGTTTAACCTGCAGTTATGAAGAACCAGGCTGCGTATATGATTGCGGTAGTTACATAAATACATAAAATAAGATCAGTGTGAAAGATAAGAATAATGCCAGACTTTCCTATTATATTTGTCTGATGCCCACATAAAACTGAGTGAGATCCCAAGTTCATCCATCAGCGCGCTCACACGTATGACGTTCCCACGTGATTGTGACGCACGAACGAGCGATTACATTTATTTGTACCAGACAGATTTTTCCACGAAAGCATCATACGTTCGTTGGAATTAAGGTGCCAAAATGGACCAGTGTGACTGTTCTAAATGTAAGTACATAAACCAAATATATGCAGTCTAAGTAATTTATTAAATTAAAGAGAATATGGTGACTCGCGCACGCATCTTCGGGAAATATAAGACCATCTGTCTGTGTTGTAGCTGGATCTTGTAACTGCGGGCAAAACTGCAAATGCACCAACTGCAAGTGCGCCCATAGCAAGAAAAGTGAGTCGAATAACTAACCTTTCGGGTTATTAAACATCACTTCACCCAGAACTCCGCAGAATTCAATTATTTCCCTCTTTTCGACGCGGTAGGTTGCGGCAGTTGTCCATCTGAATGCAGTAAGGACAAGAAGGGCTGCGAGAGCGCGTGCAAGGACAAGGACAAGGAGAAGTCGTGCGACACACACTGCTGCAAATGAAAGTCTGCGATATGTGCTGTGACACTGTGTTCCTTTAATAATAAAACATACAATTCTGTCGTGTACTCCCCCATTTGTTGTGATTATTAATGAAATCAGAGGAACTGTATTTTGAGTTCTGATTTTATTTCTCATCCATACAGGATACATGTGTAGTATAAAAACGTTAAAATCTGTAATAATAGCTCACGTACACTAAATACACCACAAGATGCAAAACAATAGAATGCCTAAATTGTAAGAACAGACCAGCAAACATGCCCCTTTGGGGCCCGTGTGGGCCCACTGCGGGCAAAAAAATCTTCCCCGCGCAGGCAGTCCGCACTATGGGGCCTGGGTGGGGCCCGAGTGGGACAGCCCAAAGTGTGGGCTGAGTGTGGGCTGGCCCACACAAAGCAGAGTGGGCCCCCAATGGGGCCAATTGTGGGCCTATAACATGCCCACAGGTATGTCCACACTGTGGGCTGGGTGTGGACACAGTGGGGAGAGTATGGGCTGGCTGTGGTCATAATGGGGGAAGTGTGGGTTCACTGTGGGCTGGGTGTGGACACCATGGGGAAAGAGTGGGAATACAGTGGGCCAAAATTTGCCCTCTATTTGTCCTAAGTAGCGTCCCAGCTGAAAATGTGTACCTAGGGCCCCAGTAGACCTCACAGTATGCCCACACTTTGGAGGGAAATGTGGACATAAACCTGTGTAGGGCCTTTGCGGCCTTAACAAATAACAAAACTTTGTACCTGCAGAATGCTGCAATATTACTATTAATGCACATGCAGAATAATTGCACATGTTGAAAGTAGAAGTAATAAATTAAGAGTCATAAATTTCAAATACTTTGATTTATTCACGGCCATGTAAAAAATGCAGAAAATACACTGCTCAAAAGTTTAGGATCTTCAATAAAAATAATTTTAAATGGCAATATAAAATTATCAATTATAAAAAGTTAGCAGCAGTATTAAAATAGTGTAAATAGCTCAGATGTGCAATGCAGCATTAAAACCTAAACAGTACA